GTAATCTTGTACTTTTAATGAAAAAAATTTTTAAGTTTTTGAATATTGTCATACACCAAGCAATAATTATATAATTTTAATTATAAAATTTGAAATAGTAATAAGTGATTACAAATTTTGTAAATTCCTCATTTTTTGATATCCTACTCTATACTTATCTTAAGCTATAATTTCTGCTTTAAAAATTATGTAAAATTATGTAATTTATATAAAGGTAAAATATTATTTTCGACATTTTATTTCCTTTATGTCTTATTAGATATCTTCAGTAGAGCTTTATTTTATGAGAAAAAGTTTGATAGTGGTTGTCTCTTTTTAAAAATCTACTACTTTAACGTTCAAGGTACTAAACATTTTTTTCTTGATAATATTTTTTACAATCATTATCGCTTTTTATTAAGGACATTAATTTTGTATTATGATAAGATTTGAAAATTTTTGATGTATCTAATAAACTATAATTATTGGAATAATGTTTCTTTTTTTTCTGCTTTACGAGTTTTTTACTTTTATCTTATGGTATTCGATTTAATATTGTAATTTACTTGCTATTGGAGAAAATCTCCCAAGAGACTTCTAGAATTACTGATTTAGTACTATTCTCATACATATAAATTATATTATTTAAAGCAGCATTACAAATTCTTATAAATATATGTATTAAAAAAATTAGGATTTATTCCCTAATTTTACAAATAAATATACTAATACGCTTATTCAAGTGCTAAATTCTACATAATCTCGAAAATCAAAATAAATTGTAATTGTCGATATCATCATTATTTGGTCAATTAACTTTCTAATTTTAATCCTTAAGAAAATATTGTGATTAATATAACAATTAATGTAATATACGCTTATGTAGTTAAAATCCTATGGTAAAGTCTACTTTTTTAAGACTTTTTTCTTAACTATCATAAAGACGATGAAAAAGTATACTATTGTATCTCACTTTTAAGAAATCTCTATACTAGTTTACTCCGAAAATTATTTTCCAAATTTAGTCAGCGTTGAAATTTTCTATTTCAATCAAAATCAGATCAAACGCAGAAATAAAAAAGTTATAATTCTTTTTCTTCGTTACAAAGTATCAATTTTTACTGTTTGTAATATATACTTTTTTTAAATTAGTACTTAGCTTTAAGCATTTCTATTGTAAGTATAATTAAAAAATTTATACATTAACGAAGTACCTTAGGGATTTTTTTATAAGAAACAGTAGTATATTATAAAATGTATAAATTATATAAATTATTTAATATCGTAATGAAAACATTTGTATTGTTAGATATATCAAGTAAATAATTCGTTTATTGCTTTTAATTAAATTTATATGTGATCCTATTTTAATTATTGTATGCTACATAAAATACATACAATTTTTTAATTTCTATTTTTTTTTATTTTACTTTGCTCATTATCAAATCCTATATTGCAATATTAACTTATTATTTATATAGATTTCATTATCCATGTGGCTGCTAAAAAGATTATTTCCAAGCACTTTATCTTTTTATATTATATCTGTGTTTTTAAGAATAACTGTACTTAAAGAATACATGCTTTTTGTGGATCTAGAAGACTAGAAATATTATTCTTTCAGGAATCATGGGCGGGAATTTAGTAATAATATTTTTAATTTTATTATTTTAATTTTAAAACCTAAAAATAAATATTTTTAAAATGTATTTATACGGGTCTACATTGAAAATCATAGCATCTAATTCATAAGAATTATATACATTTTTTATACCTTTTAATACTATATTGTTTATTCATAATAAATTACATATTTAACATTAATTTCATGATTGCTCTATTGATTTCACAAAAGAGCTATAAATATTTTCTTTTTTTTTTCTTTTAAAAAAAATTCTGTTAAACTATAAATTTTAATATAATTAATTTTTTTTATTCTTCATAAATCTTATAAATAATTGAAAAATTAATTTTTTTAATGAAAAATTTAGATCCATATTTTATATATATATATATATATGTAGAAATACTCGATGAGGCAAAGAAATTTTTTTCTTTATAATCGTATATTTTTGAAAAACAAAAACTAAATAAAAATATCTAAAAAATATATATGTAAAATAAGTTGATGTACGCGATAGGTGCGAGTTTGATAAAAGACGGTCGATTAGCTTTGTACGCGAGTACCAACATTTATTTTCTCACTAATACTATTTTCATGTATTGATATACAGATGATTTTGCAATATATGTCGATGTTCATTCATTGTATTTAGTTTTGTTAAACTAAATGGACCTTCAGTACATACTGTATCGAATAAACATTGCATCTGGTAATTGATGGCTTCAGTCTTGGAAAAAATATTAAAATACTAAATTTGATTGATTGATATATATATATTGATTTTGTTTAAATATATTTGAAATTTAATATAAAACACATTTGAATTTTGTGCATTACTTTTCCAGTGCTAAAAACTTAATATCTCTTCACTTTGAAAATACTCTCTCAAATAATATTAATATTAAGATTATCTCTTTATGGGTTTATGACAATTATATGAATAATCTCTTTGAAAAATCATAGAATTTCAACAGTAAATGTATGTAAAGAACATTATTTTCATATGACTGGTGCTTAAGAGAACTTGGTGGGAAAAGTAAGAGGGAGCAATGGATTAGGAAGTTGAATTGACTAATCGATTGTAGCGCTTATTCATCTATCTATGCATATATATATATATATATATATATGTGTGTGTGTGTGTGTGTGTGTGTGTGTGTGTGTTTCTCTGCCCTTTTCCCACTGTTCCTTTTCCAACTACACCTACGCACACGCGCGCACACGCACAAATAGAGAGAGCGAGACAGAGACAGACAGACAGACAGACAGACAGACAGACAGACAGACAGACAGACAGACAGACAGATACACACACAGAGTGACAATTGCGCGAGCAACAGCGGAGGCTAAAGCTCGCTCGGACCTTGATCGAATTAAAAGGCAGGAAGGTCGTACCGAAGTAGATGGACTTTGAAAGTAGAGAGACAGAAAAACGGTTCCGTACTTGGCAGTATCGTCGGAGATTCTTCAAGAAATCTTCGTAACACTTTCAGATTAAATTATTTAATTTTTAATCCCCATTTACCCACGTAATTTCTTATGAGTTATTAACATTTTGATGGGATTATCAATCAATTCAATTTGCGGTGCGGCTTTTATGTAAAATTAAACATTTTATTGTACGAATCTACAATAAGATTGAACGTATTTTTATTTTTGTCGTGTTCAATGATTCAAATAGCGACCTACATATTTCCGTTACTTCCAAGTAGTTTGACGTTTTCTATATTTTTATTGATAAACATAAAAATGGATCAACCGGATTTTTGAATCAGCTTAATAAATACTTTAATTTTTATTTATTGAGTTGAATGGTAATGGTGTTCTTGAACTATAAATTTTAAGTAGTTTGCAGTCCACATTTTTATGACATGTTTCTTTTTATTATCATCTATATAAAAAGTGCGAAAAATGAAGTTTTTTTTTTTTTTTTTTTTATGTATTTGAAGGGGGTTTTAAACTATATTTTGAAATTTCCTTTAAAAATGTTTATTATTTACAGACTATTGATTCTATAGAATATTTTATTTATTACAAATAAAAATGTGCATATACTTAAATGTAAATGTATTATAAAACAAAGTTTCTTGGATAAATTTTATTATATAAATTATCGAATGATATTGTTGTAAAATTTTAAACAAAGACAACTGTTAATTAATGACAGTACAAAGTTTAATAAAAATTTAATGTATATAATTTTATATAGTTTAATTAATTTCAAATATATACCATTGGATTTGCAATGTTTTACAAACCTACAGAATCTATGAATAGTTTCTAAAAAGTATTTCATTATTAAATTAAAAAGATCAATTACTAAATGAAAGTAAATTAACAGATTAAAGAAATATGAATTAAACTTATTTTAAATTCCATTATTTGAATTCTAAAATTATAAATGTACTTTAATGTACACTTACGAATCTCAAATAAAATTGCTAATGAATAAAATATTTTTAAATATGCTAATTATTAAATTTTTGCTATAAATAGTTGAACATTTTACATTCAAAAAATAACATCACATTCAATTGTACGTTATTTATTAAAAATCGTTAATTCTAACATATTATTGATCCGATAATTCCAGGTACTTTACGAATTTTTTTTAATAAAAATAAAACAAAGCAAATCGGCATTTAATAATTAAACAATTAAATGAGTTAAATGTTTATTGAGGTAATTTGAGGATTTGAAGTAATTGACAATTAAATATTTCCTTTCCTCTCCCTCAAACACACAAATAACCGTGTGTCTGTTTATGTGTGTAAAGTATATATAGAAAGTACATAAATTTGTAGACACATATAAAATCACCTCATAGATTAATAATTTTTACTTATTAAAAGCCTTTTTTATCATGTAAGAATAGAGCAAAAAGTAGTTTATTTACTATTTTATTTCACGTTTAATAACTATTTCATCGTTAAATCGAATATTTAATCACAAATATTTACAATGATGATAGTTTAAAAATGTTTACAGTAATTTATAAAACAATTGCTTGAGCTTCATTTTATCTTTATATCCTACTTTTTCTAGCACGTTTAGATAAGATAGGATAAACTCTTGAAATTTCGTATCGTCAGCATTTTATAGCTGATTTGCAAAAGGGTACAAAGGTTTCTGTTCTTTCATTCTCATTTTTCTACCGTCTTTTCCTCCATCCTCTTATATCTACTTTGACTAATTAATAGTAGAAAATTAGAAGTAATGTTCTACATATAATAATAAGTAAGACTAGAAGAAGGCGACAATTATTTTCATGGAAAACCCCATTGAATATTGATTGTCAATTATTAAATCTGCGTGTATTCATCTAATTAATTGAATAATTAAGCACCAAACGTGGCGCGTGATAGTGAAAGTTATGGGAGGTTTATTATTAACTCACCTGAACTTCCAAAGCGTGATAAGCAAATATGAGGCCAAGAAGTATCACAGTCGATACAGAGATCAAGGTTTTTAGTGCAGTCGAGTAAAAAGAGGCCTGAAATCACAAACAATAAATATTTACTTTCTACAACGTTATTAATACTTTTAATTTCTAATAATATTTGCGGTCGGCTCTTTCAAAGTTTTTATTATGTTTTCATTATTTTATAACAGATTTGCATTACAAGTACTGATTATTTCAAATCTTTATATATTTTATATGAATTTAAAAAAATTTTTTGACACATAAGCACCGGTTAACTTTACTTTCTTATTATTATGAATATTCATGAGGTTTCATTATCTATTAGTAATTAAGTAAATTTTTTAACAATCCCATATAAAAAGTAGAGAAAAAAAATCAAAAAAGAATTTCAATTCAATAACAATTTTATCCGATAAAACTAAATCACATGTGTTTAAAAAACAAAAATTCAATTGAATATATAAATTATATAAATTTTTTATTACACTATTAACGCTGTTGATTAAGCATTGCATTGAGATTATCCGTATGTATCTGTATGTAATATGGTTAATATATTCTACTGATTATATTATCCGATACCATTACTCTATATTATAGTACGTAAAGGTTTTGAGAAGCATAATATATTATGCGACTACTCGTTTCAGAAAGATAAAATAATGAAACCATTATGAATTTTATCGTAATATCTTATAATAATAATAATAATAATAATAATAATAATAATAATAATAATAATAATAATAATAATAATAATAATAATAATAATAATAATATTCATTAAAACAACTTGAAAATCAGCTGAATACAATGTAATAAAAATATCTCTTCTTTCAAATAAATTTTTACATTTTAATGATTAAGCAAAAAGAAAAAAAAAAAAAGGTATATTAAGATTAATATCGCAGTTGCAAACAAATGTGTAAGTTTAATAAATGTGAAAAGAATATATTTGATGATGTATTAATGTATCGATGATGGTATAAGAAGAGCAATTAAAATAAATTCGATGTAATAGTCAAAACTATTTAACAAATCTTTTTATAAGATCTTAGTCCTATAAGAGAGACTACAGAAATAAAGAGAATAATATATTTAGGAAAGATACTATTAAGATTTCAACTAACGTCTGTAAAAAAAAAAAAAAAAAAAAAAAAAAAAAAAAAAAAATTGTTAAGATACGTAGTCAGACTTCTTGAAGAAGATTTCTTCTATAGGAACTATAAGAAAAATTGTGGAATTGGCCTAGTAAACACGTACTACTTTGAATTGATATACAGAACGATACTTTTCTTGTAGAATATGTCGATGAGATTGCAGCAGTTATCCCGTCTATGTAGTGCTTCACTCGAAGCTTAATCAAATGATATGGCATGCGGATCGATAAATGAGCCAACATAGAGTGAAGTTGTGTCTGCCCAAAGTACAGAACGTATTATTCATGAGAACGCTCGTTCTAACTATTATATCGATTAATTTATAAAGAAAATAGATGTAGATAAAGGCCTCGGCAAAGTATCTGGAGCGCATCTTAAACAGTAAGTTTTATTAGCCATACAATGAGAAATTCTGCTTATAAGACTAATGACAATTCTACTAAGCTAGGCTTGCTTACTAATAAATATTCTCGCTTCTACGACAAGAATATAAACATTATATTTTCAATTTTATTCCTAATTATATTCTCAATTATCTTACGTAGGTTAGAGAGAACTGTACCAATGTATTTAGTATATCGGAAAATAAATGTGATTTATGATAATGATGCTATAAAATATAAAATTCTGAATCTTTAGTTACTATGGCATTGTCTCGATCGTCTTTAATGATGAAAATAATAAATTTGAGTAAAAATATTAGCAGAATCAATGACTATAAATATTTTGATAACAAAAAAAAAGGAGAAGAAATAATCATTACTAAATTGAGGCTTAAATCAAATGGAAGGAGGCTTTCACCATTTACATACCAAGGTCTACCATTCCTTTAGCGCACTACTATTTATATAATATCTTTGATTAATCATATCATTTATTCATTATATAAATTAATAGATCAATAATATTTGTTCTTGTTCAGATCTTTATTATGTAATATATTGATGGCGTTGCTGTCAGGACATTATTTAAAGATTTATGTCTGCACAAATTGACATTTATAAATTTTCTATTAAATCAATGCTACATGTGTAGTATCTTAAAAATTTTCCTCCAATAAAGCATTAAAGTTTAATATAATCTTTTACATATTTCCATTGCTATATTCCAAACGTATTCTGTTACTTTTAACCCTTCAATAATTAACGCAATTTTGAATAAAAATTACTATGCAAACATCAACAGTTAATTTTAATATACCGAAGTAACATAAAAATTCAATAATAAAAGATATATATTTCTAAAGCACTAATTACCTCATATACACATATAATGTCCAATTATTATAATTTCTTATCTCTTCTGAGCATATATTAATGCTATAATAAATCTACAACTAACCTATTGGAAATTATTTTGTAATTAACTAATTTTTATCGTCTGAACAGACAAAGTTTTAAGCAAGTGTCGAGTCTTTGACAAAATTAAGTTAAAGACTCCGTAAGATTCCCTGTGTGTGGCTGGTGATAAGAGCTTTATAGCGTGGCCCATCGATATGTCGCAGATCACAAATTAAAGGGAATAAATCCAATGTTTAATCTCCTGTGATACCGTGAATCAATCTTTCTTTAGCACATCGGTCGCCATTGCTTTCAATTAGAATAGAATTAAATTTACCCTATTTACACCTACTCTAGTTATTAATCACAACCTTCTTTAATTTAATTCTATTCATTCATAGAATTATTTCTGACCAGCGCTGTTCCATACAAGTTTTACATATGTTTTTTCTGCTAGACTTTTTATATCACAGAACATTGGTGAGTGAGTGGAAGGTGTAGAATAATAAACAAATGTAGAAAGGCACTTATTGTAAACAAAATAAGTTGTAATTTTCAAACAATGTTTTTATGACTTTTCCTTTCATAAGTCACAATTTGCACACATTTACATTTAGGTAGGAAAATAAAAGCAGAAGTAAATGTAAAAAGGTGAAAAGTGTGACTTAATTGATTTATTTACATGTAATCACGTAAACATAATATATTGAACATGGAAGAAATTTTCAAATTTAATCGAAATATTGTCGAAATTTCATCGATTTGATTAAAATTTGAAAACCATTGATAATCGACCATTGATACATGAAAATAATTGATATAAGTACTATGTACATTTAAATACCATTTATTTCATAAATATTAAAATTTATTACAAACTTTGTTATTTACGTAACCTCAGTTAATACAATTGGAGTAGATTTTTTTTTTTTTTTTTTTTTTTTTATCCATATATATTATTAAGATATATCGATTGTATACCATTTATCTACTATAGTAATATAGTACATATTACAGTTTGAAATATTTAGTATAAGGATTTTACTGTACAAAAAGACTTTCAAATTGGTATTTATATAAATTATTTAACGAAGATTCGATTATAATCATAGAAATTTAATTTCCTGTGAATATTAATATATACATCTATTAATATTAATAATTAGGTTTATATTGTAAATAGCGTAATAAGTAATATAGTTTGGAAAAAAATTAGTAGATTTCCGAATTTCATTTTTTTTTTTTTCCATTTTTCTTCTATTTACCAATATTAATATTATATGCAAATGTTTATAATTATTGTAAATATTGATTCTGTAAGTTTTGTATAAAAAAAAAAAGTATTTCAACAATAATGTATAAAGTTAATTTAGATGTTGAAATATTGATAATATTTATTATAGAAAGTGTAAAGTATAAAAATCATTGTCTGGGGAATCGAATAGCATTAAGATGGTTGAGGTGAAGATTTTTGCCGAGAAAAGAAGATTTAAAAGAAGGTTGCTTAAGTTGAGAATGAGGAAAAGAAGAGAAACTTGTAAGATGTTTCCTATCTAGTGCTGCTAAAAGAAAAAATTGATGAAAATAACAGAACAACATGAAGAGGACGGGAGAGAGGGTCGATTCTTTCTTTTATCTTTTCTTGTTCTTGTAAGACCGTTATCATTGTATTTCTTTAGATTTTTGAATTATATCCACAAAAATATGCCACGTATTTATATCGACATAGTTGATGGTAAATTATATTAACTACTTTTTTTTTTTTAATTTTTTTTTTTTTTTTTTTTTCTTGGTAATAAAATCTATTTACGTACTCATAGAAAACAACCATGAGTGCATAGAATTACGGTGATAACGAAGAATACAAATACGTTGATGTTGAAATTATTCAGGCTTGAAAACAAAGTGGTCATTAGGGCTCCGATAACTTCAACTATCAGAATAATATTGTCAAGTCTGGACGTCTATTGTTGAAGTGAAGAAAGAAGAAAATATCACGACATTGTTATAACTTTTTATTTTCTTGCTGTCATTCTCGAGCTTCCCTATCGGAATTATTGATCTGGAAAATTTTCGTTGATTTCCAACTTTAGTGAATTTTGCAATATTGCTCTAAATCTACAATTTCACAGGCATTAATCGAGCCTATTGTCACATACTGACCTGTCTTCGCTCGTTTCAACGCGTTATTTATCGTCCTTCTTGAAATGCACATCGACAAAAATAAGATTCGCCACTGTATTTTTTATTATTCGTATGTAAAAAGAACCGTTGAATGATTATTATCAATTATTATTATCAATTATCACTTAATTTTTAAGATAGAATTTAATTTGAGCCCCCATAAGACGGTTTAAGTGGGTTTTATTCTTATAAACTAATATAAACTTGATAAACATTTTCATTATGAACTTTCAACGAACGCATTATTATTATTTGTTATAACATCTAGACACCTTGACAGCTTTTGATAAGCGAATTTCTATTTTATTAAAAAAGTTCCAATTAAGATGAGAAGTTTGACGAGTCTGGAAATTTATTTACATATCGACGTAAATATTGAATGGTTGTAATTAACTAACATTAAGTTCTATTATAAAATAACTTTAATGAAACTGAGAAAAGATTAAAAGGATTTGTAATATTTAAAACATTAAAAGTGCTTGTGTTGAATAACCGTATGTGAGAAGAAGAAAGAGAAAATGAAAATTAGTTATCCTCGGATTAAATTCTATATGCATATGTGAATTATAATTAATAAGAATAAACCATGAATTTTCATGCCAAAAATATATGGGAAACGAGGTTATGAATTTTTCCTTTATCTTTCAATTGAATTATGGGCTATTCAATTATATTCAATTTTCATTATCTTACAAATCAAACATTAACATAAATTTACTTGTCGTAAATCATAGTTATACTAAAATTAGTTAATTCAAATTGAACGAAAGTGAACGAATGATTATTAAGAACTTAATATTATTAAATTATCGTTTGGTTGGTATTAAATTTGAGCGTGCATAATTATACGGGAAAATTACATATCCACGTAATCTTAAGCTCAATATATTTAACGAGGAGGATAAAATCCTTTTATCGTTTATAAAAAGTTCTCTTTTATGAAATATCGTTAATCTAACATAGATAATGATTTTAGTTTCAGTTTTGTTAAAAGTAATGAGATCATATGTGACTTTGTCCAGCATTTTCATAATGCTCGTAAAATTTTGAAAACAAAATTAATGCGTCATTTGTATAATCGAAAGGGAATTAATATTGCTTTGTATTATTTTTCTCATTAGATCGTTATGAATAATCGCGCTTAAATATGTAAAATTTTAATATTTATCTTATATAACGTAATGTTTAAATTTGTAAGAAATACGTGTTCTTTCTAATGTATTAAGCCCCATTTATCTATATTTTGGTCTATATTTTGGTTTTCAATAGTTATTATAAATCTGGGCGATTAAAGTAATCGATATCGTTTTATGCTCTTAAAATTATTGACATTTTCAAGTCTCCCGGAAGAATGGGTTTTCATAAATACTTTAGTAGTAGTTTTTGGTAGCGGGGACGGAGGATGCGCGTGGACGGGGGAGGAGGATTCGGTTCGTATGTTCAGCCATGCTAAGGCATTAGAATAAAAACTGGCGCTCGAAGGGCTTTTACGAAATGTCGAATGCTCGCCACATTCTAATCCTCGTCCTTTTGTGTATTCGTCCCGTTAATGGAGAGCGCACCCGTCACGAATTGATCTCTTTGTTTAGCGTGCCGCGGTCTCCTCGGGAAAAGCCCGGGGCGCCTGGTCTGGCCCCATTTTTCGCAAATGCACGATGACGTCGGCGTGTCGCGGAAAGCGGGCGTCTGCACTATATATCGAGGTGGATGATATGAGCTTTCGGCGCGTTCGGTGCGATTTTTGGATCACCGAGAGCTTCATGCGTTTTGGTGCTTACGAGGCGGGGCCAACCGGGAAAGCGCAGTTGACCCGCTTTTCCGCTACGTTACTCGCTAGAATGGTTAGGGATTTTTTGCATCGAAAATATCTCTTGTACTCTGGATGGATAATTTTAAGATTTTCCTTTTAAGAAAGAATGATGGAAACGTGGAATTTATAGTGAAGTCAACGAAAAATTCTAAAGATTATTTATATCCACGACGAAGTTGAGCGAGAGAGAGAGAGAGAGAGAGAGAGAGAGAGAGAGAGCAAAAGAGATTGCAGACCTACTCGAATCAATAACTACGTGTATTGTAATTTATAATCTTTTCTATTAAGGTGAAATAAGTTTATTAGAAATTTTGAATTTTATAAAGAGCCACGTTTATAAACTTAGATAATAAATTCTTACGTTATTTCAAATTACATGCAATTATTGAAGAATCTGCGGTTGATTTCACGTTCAGAAATGAATGTGAGAAGCTTATCTCCCACGTATTAAAACTTTTTCCTGGCTTATTTCTTATTATTTGATATTCTACATTAATATCTTATAAGACGGTAATTTTAATCTTATCTATTCAAAATTTTGATATTAAATACAATAAAAATATATATTACAAAGTAAATTATTTTTTAATAACCTTTTTAGGTTTTTTAATTAATCGAAAATTTACCACCAGCGTTTAGTGTTTTTCTTCTTCTTTTTTTTTTCATCTTTTTTTTTTTTTTAAAACATAAACGCAATCTTTGAATATAATTACTATTGACATTGAAATAAATTGAAATTTATAATTTCATTCATTACTATAAAATAAAATTTTTATGCTATATTTTATGACACCCACTGATAAACCGATCTTCTATTTCAGTTTTTGTTCCAATGAATATGCCTACGTTATATAATAATAAAGTAAAATATTTTCAGCTCTAAATCCTATGGATTAGAAAACATTTCGCGCAAATTAACATTATAGATAGGATATATATCAAAATATTTTTTTCTTTCAATTTTCTGTCGTTGTTTCAATTTCAAATGGATTTGAACGATAGTACTATAAAACTTTATATTTCATTTGGAAAGTTTTATCTAAGAAAGTTTTATCTTAAAAAACTTTTAATATTAAAGTTAATTATTTTCATAAGTACTTAAGTAATTTTGAATTACATTAAAGACGTACAATAAAATTTCATTCGATAGTTTGAAAATGTCTGCAAATCAACGACGATGCGAAGATACAAGCAAATTTGCATTTAATTTTATACAATTGACAAGTAATGGTGATTATATAGATCTCGCTTATAAATGTCAAATAACTGCGAAACATTATACTTGGTTAGTCTACGAGCCTATTATCGTCACAACATCCTATCAAATTCTTACTTGCATTAATTTTATTATCCATTAAGCCGACGTTTAATGCCTTTAGCACTAGGCGCATATACTCATTGGGCGCGCGCGCGCGCGAATGCACGCACGCATACACGCGCAAGACTTAGTCGTACAGTCTGGTGCAACGTTCGATGCTAGAATGATAAAGGACTGACTGACCTTGCTATATACTCCAGCGCTGGAGAGTTCGTTCTCGATGACCATGACAATGATGCCAAACATGCCCATGACGAGGGCGTAATCGCTGATGCGTTTGCGTTTCTCGAAGAGGGCCTTTCGTCTTCCGAGCCTGTAGCCGACGTTGGGCTTGTGCTTGGAGGCCGCGCCGATGCTGCCGGACGTGCCTTTGACGCCGATGCCGCCGACACCGCCGATCCCCCCGGCTACTGAAAGGGTCCGCTCGTCGACGCAGCCCCTCTGATAGTCCCCGTGGACGCCGACGAGGGCTATGGCGGCGTCCTCGCCCACGGAACCGCCACCACCGCCACCGCCGCCGCCCCCCATACTGCTGCTCTTCATCTCCCCGGGGATCGAGAGGGTTGACGCCGGCTTCCGTAGCTGTAACACCGCCTCCGGCTATAATGAGCTTTTCTCTTTATTATTCGTCGACACTCCCCTCCCACCACCACACACCCACCTTCTCCTCCTCCTCCTCCTCCTCCACCCCAACCCATCACAAAATCTGTTTGCTTTTACACTTACTATTCGTTTGTAGCTATTTTACTTAGTAACCGTGAACTCAACTAGCTAAGCGGAGTTAATTTTTCCGTTGCTTTCATTCGTCCTTTTTCTTTTTCTTTTTCTTTAGGGACAAACCGAGTTCTACATTATCAACCTGGATTGTCTACTTTTTACTAACAATAATTACTTCTGTCTATGCCATACTCAAGCTTCTATTAAGATAAATTATAGCGGATGTAGTTGTTTTACAAGGCTTTTGTAGTAGTTATTTTGCTAGGTTGCATTTCCATCAATACTATGAAAGCGAACGAAAATTATTATCCATTGTTTTCAATGTATTTGCCTGTCATACATTAATCTTTAACCATTGTGAAGACTAATTTAGTTCGATATATATATTTTTGAAGATAAAATTTTTTTTAGTGAATTATCAAGCGTAGATCGATGATATTTGCTAATGGCAATGTCGAAACAATTAATAAGGTTCGCATTGACAAACTACTGATTGATTAAACTTTTCTCAATATTTAACCTTCGAATATCGATAAAATAACTGAGTGACACATATAATCTTAGAAGTTATTATTATAGATATATTTTTAAATTAGAAATTATAGTAAATATGAGTAACAGTTAGTTTTAGTAATAATATTATGATATCAAGCAATGCTAAATCTTTCGAATAATGAATTACCATAATGCATACTGATGCAAAACCATGTTATTGCGTAAGATTATTAAATTATTAGTAATACTACGTCAACATACATTCTAAAAAACAGTTATAAATGCAGTAAAAAATATCTATTTATTCCACCCATATTCATTTTTTATTTTCCATTCATAATCTTTAACTTCTTTATTCTTCAGATTCATAATATATTACATTCTTATCATTTTTAACAAATATTGTAATGTAAAGTTTCATACGCAATATGTATCTACTACTATCTTATAATACACATATTTACAGATTATTCTCAGGAATTTTACAATAGTTAATTTGTAACAAGTGAGAATAATTTTTTTGAATAATTGAAATTGGTAAGACTAACTTATTGATTGTAATGTATTGTCTAGTTAGAATAAATGTTACTAATACAAATTATTGATTCGTTCCTATTTTTATTATTGCAAGCAAGTTTACAACTGTAAATGTTCGAACAATAATTGTATATATTTTTTAATAAGTACTTTTTTTTCATTAGACTTGCACTTATCACTTAAGCAAGCATGCAAATAACTTCTGTTCAAAGCAATCTCTGTTCAAAACAATCAAAGCAATTGTTTTATAATTATGTAAAAACAATTTAAGGAGAGTACGTTACTAATTTGCGATAAACGAAGGTACGATAAATTATTATAAATTATATTTTTACTCTATTTTTAATAATTTTGTTCTTTACAAATAAAATGAAAATAGATAAATATTAATTTATATATATATTGTGAAATGATTCATTTCTAAAACTTAAATACAATAATGGAATATTATATACATTTAACATAGTTAATAAAATAACATAGTTACAGATACTCTTCACTTATATTAAACCAATGACGTTATTCTTACGACAATTAGAATTTAGTTAAAATTAGTTTATCTATGGCTCAATAACTATTTTCCAAAGGTAAATTAATCTAAACAAGACAATGCCTCCAGCGACATATTTTCCTCAAAAAAAAGCCAGCTTTCATTTGATTTTTTAATAATATATTAAATGAAAATCTAATTTTATATTTATTAACAAATTTAATAATAAAACTTATTTATAACTCACTACAATTGTCTATTAGCTATTACAGACTTTAAATGGCATTTTTATATTATGGAGATTAATCATTTGAAATGCTACGTTTTAGCCATTATTATTGTTAACGGGTCCATGTAATCACGGAACATAGAGACAAAAAATGTATTCTACTCTATAAATAGTAAACTACTATAATTTACAAAATTATAAATTATAAATTCTAATTTACATAGGTTTAAAATATTAATTAATTTCTACTATTATATTGCACATATTCCATCAATGCAATAAAATATATATTTAAAAGAACAGACGGTTAAATGAAAATGATTTCTTTCCGTTCGTACTAATAATGTTTAAATTTATAAAATATAATAATATAATAATGAAGTAGTACTTTCATAATATGATAAAATGAGTTGTTAACCTTCGATTATACAAAAATTTTTGTAATTTTTTGAGTGAAAAATTTTTTAATGAATTTTTCTTACTCCTAGAGTGCAAAGGAAGACCAAAGAAAATATTATCTAAAAATCCAATTAAATGCATGAAAAATCTACATAAATAATCTGAGGTATTTTATTATTTTTTTTTTATTTTTTTTTTTTTATTATTTTTTTTTTTTTTCAGTGAACATGGTGATATTAATATATTATGCATGAAATGCAATGATTCGGTGCTTGAGTTCCAATATCCTTTTATATATCTAACAGAATAACAAGTAGCTAAGGGTTATGGACATCTCGTATGAGAGCTCGAAGAAGCCTTACAAAAACCATCGACTGTTCTTATCTCGTACCACATAGCAGTCTATTATGCAAATCTAAAAAACGAAATTTCAAGCAGAGCCGAAGCTACAGTTAACACAAAAACTTTCCATACGAACAGTTTTTTCAAATGTAAATTATTCAAATAAATTCAAGAAATTTCAAAAATATTGTAATATTAGATATGCGAGAAATTATTTTAGATATCTAAATATATATATATATATATATATGAACAATTATCGTTCAAGATTATTTCAGAAGAGTAAAATTTTTTTATGAACTTTTGAAAAAGGGTGATTAAGATTGCCATATAATTATGATAGTAAATATAATTATAAATATAACTAAATGAAAATTCGAGGATAATAATATATTTTATATATAGCAAATAACATATAATAATAATCTAATAATTAATCTTTTATTTTATTATTATTTTCATTTAATATTTTATCTAATATATATGTATTGTTTACTTATTGTACAATAATATAAAAAGGTACAATTTTATATGTTATATTTCTATTAAATATAAGTTATATTAATGAAAAATTAATGCAAAATTTAACACTTGTTTGTATAAATTTACCACAATAAATCATGAATAATCAAATCATAAAAAAAGATTATTAATATATTTTATTCATAACAATTGCCATATTTAATTTCATTATTTATTAAACAACAATTATTAAATTTAATTACATAATGTAATAATGTTTTTTCATAATGTAATCACTATTAGTATATTTAATAGTTTAAGAAATAACGATATAATTTATGTTTATAGTTAGATATTATGAAAAAGTTATTACTATTTATGAAGTATTTATATTACTAATAAATCAAAATTTCACGTATAAAAAATAAAATATGCAAAATCTTTTCCACTTTAAATAAAAATATAATTATAAGTTTTAATTAACAATTTGCTCTCTTATTAAATAGAAGTTATGATCAGTGAGAAGTTGACAAATTGGATGAAAGTTTTGTATTACTTTCGGATCGCTTTTCCTTGCTTTCATCGTTATTATTCAATTTGAACAAAAAATTCTAGTTATTAATCTGTAAAATGTTTTCATCGCAAATTATAGCTAATTAGATATTTATTTGAATTAAATCGTAATTGTATTAAAAATGACAAAATTCTTAAAATTAAAAATATAAATGCAATAGGTAATTTTGATTGAAATAATGTTAATAGAAATATTTTAATTGTTAAGTAATTATTAAGCATAGAGTGATTTTTTTTTTTTTCGTGTAAATCAATTGGTAATACTAATTTTTAAGAAATTTCTATAATAGATATTTTACAAAAGTGTTTAATTTAACATTTAATTTTCAAATGCTTATATGGCGAGTATATTTATTAAGAATTTGAAAAATTTTCACTCTAATTCTATATAAATTTATGCTTAATAATTTATGTCTAAGTCAGTAACAATTCAGTAACTTAACATTCTATTAAATTTATGTCAAATATTAAAAATGTCTATTATAACTCTAAGATTATAAGCTGTTATAAATGATAAATAATAATATGAAAATTATGTGAGTAGAAATGATGTTTTTTTTTTGTTAAATCTTTTTCTTAATTGTGTGTTTTTTTTTTAAAAGCTACTCTACTGTAAGATTACATGCTTAATGTATCGTTGAAATATTTTATTGATTTTTATGCATTTTATTTTATCGAATGCGCTTAGATAATATTAACATTAATAAAATAAGCATTAAAATTAAATTAAATAATTTTTTTCAAATTATTTTCACCAATCAAAGTCATATGAAAGACGGTAAATAGAATTTTTGTCAAATAAGAAACCAAATTTTTGTTTACATATTCATTTATCTTACGAGAAATAAAAGCTTTTTCTTACTTAATGAAAATAATTTTATATGCTATTAGAATTATTTGCATATAAAAATTACAAAGCTGCTCTAATTTCCTTACTATCACATTCGTATTTATTTATAAGAAACAGACGAATAGTTGATTTTTTGTTTTTGTTGGATAAATTCCCTTTTAATGCATTAATTATAATTTATATATTTAACATGCAATTTGAATATTATAAGTTCAATTAAATAATTATTTTAATATATTTGTGAAACAACAATAACAAGTTTTAATTTGTAATTAAAGAAAAATTCGTTTATTTAATTAAAAGAATATATTCATTTTAGTTGGCAAAGAGTAAAGTATCGCGTTATAGCTGACTTTTTAAAATAATTCTGATGAAAAGCATTGTAAATAAAATATTGTATAGTAGTCATATATATAGTAGTTATTTGATATTGTATAGTGATATTTTTTATAGTGCAACATAATCCATAGAGTTTGTCCATAATAACA